GGTGGGACTTTTGAACCTTTGTGGATCTTGTGACTGTGCCAAAGTCTCTCACTCTCTGCACATTGTTTGGGTGTGGATCTCTGTGTTAATTCACATCTAATGCAAGAAGAAGCTTTTCTAATGCTATACCCACTAATCTATGGGTATAGCACTATGCCATTTTACTGCTATATTCCTTTAGCATAATAATAGAACTACGTTATCCCTTAAGCCATGGTCTCAGATTTTTGGCCACCTCCAGCAATGTCAGGGATGGCTTCCATCTCATGGAGTGGGACTTATATCTAATAAAAAGCGGCTGACAACATTTGTGTCATTATTGTACCAGTATATGTTGCAGACAGGTCACTGTTGTAAGTTGTAAGGTTTGTAGCTCAGAGATACTGGTGATTACCTTACTTCTTCAGTGCTGTGCAAAGTGCGTTATAGTATCAGCAGGGTTGAAGCTACATACCTGTGCACAAAAAGCACTGGAAAGTTGTACAGTAAAAAATAAATACTGTGTGTGGAGAGAAAGTTTGGCGGTATGAATGGCTTTGTCTTCTTTGTGTTTTTTATGTTTTTCATATCCTTAATTTGAGAACATATGATTTTTTGTAATAAAAAAAAATAGAAACTACATTAACATAAGTAACAAAGGTCATGCATCTGTTGAATGTATAATTATGACCAATCTTTAATCACCATGTTTATGTTTGTAGATTGTTGTGGTTGATGCTCTAGAGCAATCTTTAATCCCCACATAGTTATACTACAGCTCTTTAAGGGTCATTTTCTCCATGTGTCTAGGCCATTTCTATTCTGGCTATGTCACATTGTGGCGAACCAAGAATGTTTGGTAAGGAGCATACCCTTAAACAGTCTGACTTTAGATATGGTATTCCCCAAAGATCAGCTTAATGGTAAAATTACTAAAATAATTTATAAAATCCATTTCTCTGGGATGGAGGAAGGATGAATATGGGATCAGGGAAGAATATATTTCAACTAAGGGAGTCATTTTAGGGTTTACAGGAGACTTGATTATATATGGGATCCCAGGTCCAAGGAGAGATCCCCAGATTGTTCTCTGGATAGAGGAGAGGGTGCCTGAACCGGCCTTGGCCCATAACCATACTGATGAATATTTTGCTTATCACCATAGATTCTTCATCTGTCGATGGATGGCGATACAGACGGAGACCCACATTGGAGTACCGGACTGAGCCCCCCAAGGTCCAAATGAGGAGCAGAAGGACGAAGAAAATGAAAAAGGAAATAAGGACTGCGAGGGATACTATCACCCACTGATACAAGGGGAGGGATCTAATGAGAGTTTACAAAGGCCAGTTGGACTGCAACTGAACGAGGAAGTGATCCAACCAGATTCTCTGAATGTGGCCGGATTCTCTGAATGTGGCTGGCCGGAGTCTTTCTGAAAAGCCATTGACAATGACACTGGGACTTGTTTCCTCTGCATATACTGGATTTTGGGGATCCAGTCTGTTTGGATACTCACCTTCCTGGACCTGGAGGGAGGGGGGAGGAACTTGAACTTCCCACAGGGCAGGAAACCCTGACTGCCCTTAGGGACGAAGAGGGAGGAGGAGAGGGAGTGGGGGGAGTGGGAGGGTGTTGGGAAGAGGGGCGTAAATGGAAACTTTTATAATTTAATAAAATTACTTTAAAAAAAAAAAGAAAAAAATCCATTTCTCTGTTTTGGTGGATTATTTTCACAAATATCTATATGCCATTTAGAACTAAGGTTTCTGATACTTACAATTGTTTCCTATCTCATATTAAAACATTTTAAAAGCTTATTTACCATTTCTAATTTCTACCCAAGTAAGACATTGTATCAAAAGACTTTAATACTTAGTTTCTGAAAATGTCCCAAGAAAGTTTGGCCACATAATCATTTAAGGTGATTTTATATTGCTAATGAATTTTCTGGATGTCTTCATGAGTTATTACAATAGTTTGTAATCTTAGTTTTAAAGCTTCTAACTTAAAGTATTGTGCCCATTTCCTTAGCGGGTTGTAAATAAGAATTTAAAAGGCAATGCGCAGAACATGAACTGTTGGACAGCTTCTTGGTACCACCACACAAAGTGTCCCTTGGCTTTTGATGACCATGATTGCTTCTAACAGCCTGGTTTGGCCATTACAAAAGATGAACACTTTTGTCTTTCATTGTGAGACTCCCAAATACAAAGACACATGCAAACGGCTTCAAAATAGAATTTGGAACTGTTCAAGTGGTCAGATCGAGGGCGAGAGAGAAGAGACTCAGTGATATTAGACAATACATCTCACAGAAGAAATTATCAATGGATGATTCAATGCACAGAGGGTCTAGGCTTCTTCTGACATCCAGATAGCATCAGCAATTTGAACCATTAAGGAAATCATTTGGAGTATATGGCTGTGGGATCATTTACTTGATCATATATCTACTTACATAACCATCAATCAAAGGCAACACCATGCTTGGTTATTTAAGATCACACGTTTTAACCTGGGGAAGAATCAAGGATTTTAGGGCCTCAGTTATAAAATTTTTGACAGTGGCTGAAAGAACAGCAAAAACCTCAGGTACTATTTGAAGTGTTTGCAATGTATTATATTTTTCCATGAAGTGTATTATTTCCTGTTATGGTTTAGATTTAAAATAGTCACCACAGTGTCGCTTGTTAAAGGCTTCATCTGTAATAAGAGTCATCAGAGATAGACTGCAAAAGTGAGTGATCCTGAGGAATTTGACCGTGTCCATAGATTAAACTTTTGATTGGTTCATGTAACTTGAGAACTCAGAACATGAAGAAAATTTGGAATGAAATAAAAACTTTAATGAGATCTAGGTAAAGATTGGGCTATGTGATCAGTTGGGTCTTGATCTCATATACAGTCCCATCCCCTTTCCTTGCTTTCTTTTTTTTTGGGGGGGGGGAGAAATCATGAGGAAAGAAACCATGTTTAATCATGCCCCTCTGCCACTGTACTGTGCCACCAAGTACCCAGTAAGAGAGTCTAAGGATCATGGAATGATACTTATAAAAATGTGATCCTTCCACTTTAAAGTGGGTGTTCTTAACTATTTTGCCACAGCGGTGTAACATGACTAACTTAACTGTTTAACTGTATAAAATCCCTCACATAGTTTGTTGTTGCAATGAGAAGGAATAACTTACTTCTTAGTGTCGGCCCTTATTAATAATATTGACTTTTCAAAAATGTTAGCTATGTAGCTATGTTTTTTTTTACTGTGCCTAATAATAGCTAAAATAACAATGTGATTGCTATCTGTTTTAAGTAACACTACAAAAGATGTTTGTTTGATGAATTCCCAAGGTTTTCTAATTTTCAAGAATTACCCACAACCTAGATCCATATCTGGTACAGAATAAGAAGTCAGCAAACACTGGCAATAAACAAACAAAAATCCTAAATTGTTTGGATGTGTTTGTGAGTGGATTTCTCAGGGAAGAGAGTATGTGATTTATTTCACATTCTCAAAACATTTTGTTGTCTAAGAAGTAAAATCCTATTGCTTTGAGTGAATATTATCACTGTGTGAGTAACTAAGCCTAATGTTTAGTGACAAAGTAGGGAGGAAAGGTCTTAGTGGGCCTGGGTCCCTGCCATAAGAAGGTGACAAGTGATGTCATCTCCTGGGCTCTCTGTGGAGGACTGTTCCCAACATCTTCTCTTACCTGCAAATTCCCATTTGCTCTCTGGATCACCTCCACAAGACTCTGAGGATCACAGGCTGCTTATCTAGCCATGAATTGAACATTTTCCATTTCAGTTTTGTTCGAATAAAGAAAATTGGGCTGAAAAGAAGCTCACCCACAATCTATTTCAGCTTTCAGATCTGTGGCAGATGTGTCACTTGCCTCTTGCTGCACCCAGCAGAATGCTGGACAGCAAGCTCCTGTGCCTACTGCGTTTTTCTTAACATGGTTCTTCTTAACATGATCTGGCGCAGTCGCAACCAATTGATTGAAATTGGCGTGCAGGAGGAAAGCAGTTTTCCAGCCTCATCACATTCCAACACCCTAATACCTCTGGCGAAGTCAAGAAGATGGCGTTGGATTTGTCTGTGTGCTGGGATAGCTGAGTGCTTTGGAGCAATATGTCATTTTGGGTCAGGAAGCCACGTAACTTTACATACATTGAAGGACCAAATATCATACTTGTTCTAATTTGCTTTCCCTCATTCTTTTCAGAATAAAGAAGGAAGCCCTTCAAAATACTCATTTAATTTTCCCTTGGACACAAATCTACACAGTCAATAAATACTGATCTTTTACTTACATAAAGGGCCGAAAAATAATGCTCTGTGAGAACAGAAGCATGTGAACTCTTATGTACCTTGTGTGGGGATGTACATGAAAAGAAAGCATATTTAAGTCAGTGATGGGTATTGAGGCAGGATAATTGAAATGAAATGCATTTTCACATTTTGAGCCATTTAATTTTAGAGCAAAGACCTAGTTTTCAAGTTGTTAAGCATCACTAACTCAGAAAGTATATAATGCTGCCTCTCTAGACTGAGAGTACAGGAGGTGTAGGCCTTTCTGACACTCTTCCAATCTTAAAGTGGAGAAATGTAAGATTTCGAGCAGAAGAGTAGAAATCAAATCTCCAATTCTGATCCAGGCTAGGCTCTTTTCTCCCTAGCTGGGATGATGTCTGTGAGCAGGGAGGGTAAGATGATCCACAATACACTATCCTCCTTTATTTCATCCTCATTCATCCTCATCCTGTAGCCTGGTAAACTGGCTTCACTCTGTCTTCTCTCTCCTTTGCCCTGGTCCCTCTTTGAAATATGGAGATTAAAGGTGAAAATTAGAGAGTAAGCCAGTATTATATGAAAACATATTTATTGACTGAATAATAAAACTTAGGTTGAGGGGTTTCTAGAATTAGACCCCCCCCCTTGAAATATAAGTTTCCAATAAGCAAAAAGAAGCAATACTTCCCCATCCCCAAAAGAAAGAATACACTGGAAGCCTAAATCATAGACAGTGAGGGGTGTATTCCAGCAGTCTGTTTCTTTGATGGTACAGCAAAACACGCAGCAGATCTACATCGTGTGTGGGCAACCACCCCAAAGCTTTGCTCTCTCAAATGCTGCATCCTCAATTTACACAATCCCACAAGGGAACCTTGAACATTTTGCTGCTGGCGATTTGTATGTAAGCTCTCAATAACACTCTTACAACAAAATAAAACAACTCAGAACATGGTAAATAAATAAGAGCCAGAGGAGACTCAAACAACTTCCTCGGCTGGCAAACATGCCACAGACCTGGAAGCTCATCTGAAAAGCAAGCACCTCAGCCTCCAGAGACCAAAGAGAAGGCTGAAGAAGAAGCACTGTAGCTATCCACCAGTCGTCCCCCTCCTCCCTGCCCTCGAAGTGTCCACACAATCGTCAGGATGAGGAAGGTAAATCAGTCCTCCCCCACAAAATACAACCTTTAGATGGAGCTGAAAGAAATGATTCTGTCGAGCTATGAAGCCCCTTAAGAAAAATACCCCAGGGATTACTTTAAAACTTTTTTTAAAATCGGTGAAAACTCTTCAGTAATGACATAAATAATGCACAAAACTAAACCAAAATCAGAGTGACTCAACCTCTTAAAATTTTCTTTCTTTTGAAAAGACAACTTCAGACGCACGCTGAAAGTGCAAATCTGGGTAAAATAAAAGGTACGATGGAAAATTTAGCCCGTCCTCTGTCCCCCACCCTCCAGATAGTCGCTTTTCAGTCGACCTAGCCGGGACCCATGGCTCCTGATGGTGAGTGCCAGCAGCTCGTATTTGTCTCTGAGCCCCACTGAGATGTCCAGTGTCTCCTTCAGCAAGGACCTGGTGTGGACCAGCATCCCCAGAAAGTCCTCGTTGAGTCTGCTCTCCTGCCGGCTATCCTGCTCCTGGCCCTGCTTGAACTTGCTTTCCAATTCAGTGAGGGACTTGTCAGAGTTGGAATAGGCATCCCCAATCTGGTGGGACTCCCTCCTCAGGTACTTGCCATAGCTCTCTTCCCCATCCAGGTCGTAGGAGATGCTTTTGCTGATGCCCTCCAGGACGCGCCCGGCATCCTCCACCTGGCGGCCCAGCACTGTGAACTCCTCTCGAAGGGTGAGGCTCAGCAAGCTACTGGCTTGGCCCCCTTCCCCCTGGGAGCAGCGCCGGCGGTCACTCACCCTGAAGAGCAGCTGGCATTTCTCTGGGTCATCATTCTCCTCGTAGTCTCCGTCAGGCACGAAGTAATGATGCAGAGTCCCGTTAGACATTTCTGGGTACAGGGGACCATCAAAGTAGCCTCGACACAGGTGGCAGAAGAAACCCATCCAGATCAACTTCGGGAACATCATTCTGGATATTTGGGAGAAGAGCTTTAGTTCAGGAACAAGGAAAGGGGTCCCCCCTGGGAGTCAGTGGCTCCCGGTAATTGCGCCCTCCTCAGGGTCAGCTCTCTTGCTGCTCTCTGATCCTGGTTTTCCCCGCAGGCTTCATGTGGCTCTGCGTAGCAGCTGCAGCGTTTTGTACCGGCTCCTCTCGGTCCCTGATCCTCTTTCTGCTGGGCTGCTGGACCTCAGCCTTGGCTTTCCGGCAAGATCGCCCTTCCCAGCGAGTGGGGACTTGCTCTGTGGCCACCTTTGGAGTTCCCTCTGGCTCCAGGGAGATGGAGCTAGTAGCTAAGAGAAGCTGCTCCTGCGTTGTGATGCTATTTCAACCCTTGGGCTGGGTGGGAATACAGAGAGCTTTCCCTTTGGCTAAAGATATCCTGAGGATTGCAGGGCTCTCAAATTACAGCTCATTTCGTCACTTGGAAGCCAGGAAACAAGTTAGGAAAGAAAGCTCTCACCAGGTGCCCCATTAAAGGTATAGGGTATCTTTTCCAAGATCGGAAGAGGAGACCCTGTACAATAGGACTTAGCTTGAATGGGGGGTATTAGAGGATGAATATAAACAAAAAAATCCAACTGATTAGTATATTTAGGCAAGAGGTGATTGCTTTAGACAAATGGCATTTCAGACATTTAATTACCAGGTAAGATATATTTGTACTCATTTTCAAAGCGTTTTCTTTGAGCACAAAATTCCAAGTATCGGAAATAGCAATTTTGTTCACAAATGGCTTAAAGTTTACTTTCTAAAAACTAACTCTTCAGAAACAGCATAGTGCATAGTTGCTAATCCAAATAAAGAAATTAGAAGTTTTCAGTTAAATCAATAAAAGGACAACTGAGACCACAGTGCAGTCTACTAAACAAAATCCTGCCGAGCCTTACTGAGTCCTTTATCTAGTATCTGACTGCTGAGGGCTTCTGTCAGATACTTACAAAGCTGGTGTTTTCAGCCACAGGTAGAATGTTCAACAAATTGCTACTGTCTCATAGATTGTAGTTGTCATTAAGGTGAAGGTTTTAAAATTAAGTTTTTTAAAAAAACTTCACTTTCTTGAAAGAAAATAATTTTACTGTAATTAATTCATGCACACTAACATACCACAACTAGTTTAAAGAAGTAAGTCAGATGTTTGTCCAGCTCCCAGTTCTATAACATGCCCATAAACAAATATATATTCAGAACACCATGTTCCATGGCCATTACAAAGCGATAGAAGTCCTAGTAGTGTTTAAGTTGTGGGTTCACACTTTGCATTTTCTCTCTCAAGTTCCTTTCTCTTTTTAATACTTACATAACTTGTCCATCACAGCCAATTTCTTCAACTTGTACTTCTTGATTGAACTAATCCCTTTGTAAGTCTGCACTATTCTCGCACCACATGGAAACCCTTACGGAGCTTGTCTCTCTGATTCTGGACATGTTTCCCCAAACTGTTTTGTATCAGGAAAGCAAGGGCCACCAGATCGCTCCTGTGCTTGTCCAGTTCCTCTAGGTTTCTGGTAAGCGATGACAAGGATTTGTAGGCTTATAAAAGGTCCAATGATGGAATAACCTAGTATGTGCCCACTGGGGAGCTTACAGCTACACTGAGCCCAGTGGCAGTCATCTGGGCCATTAGCTTCAGCTTTGGGAACAACAGCAGGTGAGTGAACTTGAAGATGGTGAGGCTGCTGTTGCTAGCAGAGCTTCAGGAACTGACCTAGGGTGCAGCTCTCTTCTGAAGCGCCGTGACACACATCAGGACCATGTGGAACTTGGAGTTTCAGCTATTTTTAGTTTTTTATTTATGAATTGATTGTTAAATGGCCATTTGATAAGTCGTCCATTTGTTTAAATAGTTACTATACACCAAATTCCGCTTCCAGTATTAAAAACATATCAATGAACAAAACTGGAAACAAATCATCACTTTCCTAGATTTTTTGATTTTCAAAGTGCAGAGAGAATTAAAGTAAAATAAATAAACTTCCGTTGTATGTTGGATAATATCAGGATTGTGGAGAAAAGAAACAGGAAATACGTGGGAAAATGGAAGCAGGAAGCTTCTATTTCCATAGCTGCTTGCTATTTCTGCCTTGAAATGTAACTTCACCCCTCACAGTGAGTGCTCACTGTTGTGTAGCATCTCCCTTGGCACCATGTGGGACAGCTTTCATTCAGATGCACACAGCCCTGCTGTTGACAGAGCAGTCATCCCCTTCACTGTCACAGGCAATCCAAACTCCTAGACAACGAAAACCCCAATGGAGTAACTAGTTATCTTTTAATGTAAAATTGTACATACTTTCTGCAGTATGTTCATGACGGCCTCACACCTTCGTTTTTCTCTAGACACTTGACATAATAAAAATACAGACCAAAGCACTGTTCCTTCATCGTTTTGCCAATTAGAAGACCAAGACTCATTTTCATTCTGTCCCAGTAGAGAACTCAAACCTTCTCTAAGTTAGAGACTGGGCTCGTGAGACATTGCCTCATTCCATGTCCGTGGGACATTCCCAAATGACAGCTGATGGGTTTAAATCAGTGATTTGGCCAAAGAAAAGCCCAAGGCTTTACTCAGATTCATTCCATTCCTTGCACAATCCACCTCCCTCTGATTTACAAACCAATTCAATTATGCAAAGTCACATTAAGAACTCAATACCACTTCTCTGTTGATAGGTGTGCTTTTAACTAAACATGCAGACCAAGATGTGCAATAAAATATTTCAATCTTTTACTTCTCTTGTCAGAGTCAGGCGCCTAGAGATGTACAGTCATGGAAAGAAGAGATGAGTGTATTTACTTTCTTCGTGTAATCATTTCATATAAAGATAAAAATACCATGGCTTGAATCATAAAGAGCTATGTCTGTTCATGTGAGTACAGTCTTACCAAGCACAAAGGAGCATTCATCGACAAACATACATTTTAGATTAAATTTTCAGAGAGATACAGTCTAAAACCTGGTTTTCTTTTATTGTGCCTTGGTCCCACTACATCAGTTTATGTTTATTGTTGGGCAGCACCCTTCACTTATGTTTCCAAGAATCGTGAGCTTTTCTAGAGCTATATGCAACTTGTTTGTATCTAACAGAAACGGCAGATGAATTTTCTGTAGTTGAATCGAAGTCTCTTACATCAGCATCAGTGCCCACAACTGGCCTCACTGGTTTGATCCATAAATTAAGATAAAGATAGTGTGATTCTTGGGATAAGCCTTTTGATTAAGGAAAATAAGGGACTCTGTGTGTCAGCTAAAGGTATACCATATGAACTACATGGCTGGGTAGTTTAGGGTCCTGTTTAGAAAAAGCACAGTATGGAGACAGACTCAAGGAAACTGTTGATAAATGGTCTCCCTGAACCATACCTATCATTTCTGTGATGCTCACTTGGGAGACACTGCTAGTTTTTTGCAGTAGTGTGCTTGAAAGTGTTCAGTAGCTGGGTAATGGGACAGGTCTCCCATATTCTTCATTTGATGATTTTCATAGTGTAAATATACTGATAAAAGAGAAAAAAAGTCCTCTTTATGGCCAGCATTATTGAATGCAGAGTTGGGGAAGTGTGCCGTCACACAGCATTCCTCTCATGCAGACACATTAGATGTAGATTAGTTCAAGAGAATAGGAAGTTGCAAAGCCTTGCAACTCTAAGTGATGAGTTCTGCATATATGTCCTTTTTGCTACAGTTTTTAGATTACGAGCTTCAATGGTTCAGATTTTAAAAACGGTAGTATTTAACAATGTAAAATTCCTGGAAACCTAGGAATCAGCTCTCAACAAGCAGTGCAAAGCCATTTCCAACTAGCTGTCTTCAGCACACCATGATCTTTTGAAGAAACACCTCATTTTCTTTTTAAATTTCATAACAGTTTTTATTGCTTAATATGTAATATGTGCCAGAGTCCATCCAGGACGATTATGCTAGGGTCAAAGCTAAGGTGACTTCTGGGAGTTTGTCTGGGAGGAGTGAAGCCAGAGGTAAAGTCCAAACACAGTATAAGGACAGATTCTTCTAGATTAAAACTGAAGGCTATTTTTTTCTGATAGGGAAAACATTTGAGTCTAGACAGAAACTTGAAGACAAGTGGGAAAAGCAGACATCAAATAACTTGGACCTTAGGAGGGATCTCTGGAGTCACACAAGTAAGCAAATGAATCCTGCTGTCCAGCCCCAACTATTTTCATTCTATTAATTAACTATTTTAATTTAATTTTTTAAGTCTCAGCACACAGAATTAGCAAAATTGGCTCACCTGAAACTTACGTATCTTTTTTCATTTTGGTGTCCTTGAAAATCTGCTTTCTCAACACTATCCTGAGTGAACTGACCCAGACCCAAAAATATGAATATGATATGTACTCATTCATTAGTGGATTCTAGCCATAACCAAAGGACAATGAGCCTGTAGTTTATGATCCTTGAGAAGCTAAGTAATAAGGTGAACCCAAAGAAAAACATATATAGATCCTTCTGGAAATTGGAAGCAGACAAGATTGTCAAGCATAAGTTGGGAGCAGGGGGTGGGGGGGAGGGGGTGAGGAGAAGGGGAGAGGGAGAGAGAGGGGGAGAAGGGGAGGGTTGGGGAGAGCTTGGGGGAGTTGGGTGGTTGAGATGGAGGAAGGACAGATATGCGAGCAGGGAAGAAGATATCTTAATTAAGGGAGCCATTTTGGGGTTGGCAAGAGACTTGGTTCTGGAGGGGTTCCCAGGAGTCTACAGGGATGACCCCAGCTAGGACCCTGGGCAGAGGAGGAGAAGGTGCCTGAACTGGCCTTGTCCCGGAGTCAGACTGATGACTATCTTGAATATCACCATAGAACCTTAGTCAGGCTGCGGATGGAGATAGAGACAGAGACCCACATCAAAGCACTGGACTAAGTTCCCATGGTCCAGTTGAAGAGCAGAAGGAGGGAGAATATGAGCAAGGAAGTCAGGACAGCGAGGGGTTGGTCCACCCACTGAGAGAGTGTGCCTGAGTTAGTGGAGGCTCACCAACTCTAGCTGGACTGGGACTGAACTTGCATGGGATCAAACTGGACCCTCTGAATGTGACTGATAATTGGGGCAGACTGAGGGGCCGATGATAATGGCACTGGGGTTTGTCTCTACTGCATGTACTGGCTTTTTGGGACCCTATTCCATTTGGATGCACACCTTCCTAAGTCTGGATGTAGCGGGGAGGGCCTTGGACTCCCCACAAAGCTGGGTACCTTGCCCTCTCTTAGGACTGGAGGGGGGTAAAGGAGAGGGTGTGTGGGAGAACGGGAGGGAAGTGGGAGGAGGGGAGGAAGTGGAAATTTTAATTGGTATAATTTATAAAATAATTATAAAAGAAGACAGAAAATAAAAGAAAATCTGTTT